AAGACGGGGCTGGATTTGGCTTTTTTTTAAATTTTTCAGAAGAAAACTTCAGAGACGCCACAACATATATATATATATATATATATATATATATATATATATATATTCTTGATCAGCATCAAATCCCGAATTGATTTAAGCATGATCGTCCGGCCGTCTTTGTAATATGCGTTGTAAACATTCTCTTGGCTTTGTATCTATCGACTTCAAATTTGGCAGAAATATTGGAAATTCTTGCAGGCAAGTTGTTGCTGACAATATACTAAATGAATCAAAGGATAAGCGTACAGTACCGCGTAGGCTGAGAACTCACGTTTTTCAAAAGGAATAGAAAAATGGGTAAATAAATATGCAAAAATTCAAACTCGTATTCTTTGGGCGAATTTGTAGTACCTGTAATGGAAAAATGGAAAAAATTGATCACGCCCAGCCAATATTAGAGTGTATGAAAATGTAATCTTTTTTTAACAGCTTCAAGAATCGCATTAACCATATATAAATTCTCGGCCAGTTTCAAATTCCGAATGCAACCAAGCATGTCCGTCTATTCGCCTACCCATCTGTAGACTGTTTAGATTTGTTTATTTGAAAATGACCTAAATCGGTCAAAGGACACGCCTACAGCCCCCGCATGTCTATGCAAAAACAAACGGTAAACACCTTCGCTTTCCCTCAGATCACATAAATGTCTTCACTTATATTCTGAAAATAGAAAGAGACAACCGCTCCGCTCCTCCCCAATATAATCAAAAATGACAATTTAGTTCTTTGGTCATGACCGAATATAGTTTTCTTTTTTTATATGTTTCGAATTGCAGGCCCAATACAATGCAATTTTTTAGATAGGATCAGTCGGCAAAATATTAATAGAGTGAGCCAGATAGCACAACTAGTTCAGTACATTTTTTTGAAGAGCTTAACACACCTTAACACACATTATAGACTTAAGTTGGGCAAAGTTATATATATATATATATACTGCAGAAGAATAGCGCTTTAATACTAGAGTCCTTACAGTATTATGCAGTATATCGTTATAGTTTAAATTAATTAATTAATTTTTTTCTCAATATGGATTGCAATTAATTGAGAGCAACTTAGAGGTTAAACAAAATTAGGGATAATGTCGAGTCTGAACACTCAAACTGTTAAGCATCCACCACAAGCCTTTTTACAAATTAATAGTTACTGGGTGTTGCGTTGCATGGAAAAAAGAAAAAAGTATTCAAATAGTGGAATTAAAGTAGTCACGCCTAGGTGACCTTAAATGTTGAACGATAATTACGACGACTCTAACACGTTGTAGAAAAAATGTTTTTAGATTTTTCTTCATCATATTTTTTACCCTATAAAGTATGTATATTCTTGATCAGCGCGAAATTCTGAGTTGATTTATCCATATCTGTTCGTCTGTGTGTTGTGTATTGTTGGCGCTCTCCTGGTCGCAAGAAGATATCGACTTCAAATTTAGTAAAAACATTGAAAGTTTTTGCACACAGCTTGGTATTGACAATGGGACAAATCGGTCGGAGCGCTAGAGCGCATTGGGGCGTAAATTAAACGTAACTCAGTTTTTTTTTTTAACAAAAATTTTTAGATTTTTTTTCGTTACTCAGAAATTATGAAAGTTAGAAGGCACTTTGTTCCTTACGTGCAAAACTGGAAACTATCCGCCATGCCCACACAAAATTACAAGTGATTAAAGCCTTTTTTTCTTTCACTTTTTTTAAGGATTTATGCTTACTTATGATAGGACCGAATGTTTAAAAGTATTTTGTAGGCTCCTTAAGTGAAGATACATTATCTGTCTAAAAATGGGTAGGACACTGCGAATAATATGTTCTTAATAACATTACCGATATGAGTATCAAATAAGAGAACTTGGAGAGTAGAATACGAAAAACATAGTGGTGGGTATGCGAGATCTGGCCTCTGCCGGATATAACTTGCTTCTTTTTTTTTTTTGTTGTTGTTAATATTGAACATTTTGAAAATATAGAATTTTGAGTTTTTGGTCGAACCGTGAGTCAACGGTTCGTTAAATCTTTGTACATACTTTCAAATTCACGCAATCATATGAAAATGGGATTTTAGGTGTATACGATATGTACAATACGATCGATATAAGATTGAGATTTTTAATAAATGTTCGCTATATCTTGCAATTAAATATCAGATTATTAACTGATCTTCAATTGATTCTTATTACGTTGAGAAATTTCGCTCATTTTCTTTGGAAAAGTTTCTATCTCAAAATGCGACAATCCAAATGGAATTTGGACAAAGATTTAAATAAGAAAAAGCAAATCCACATAAGACCAACGATTTTCTTCGTGCCAAGCTAATAATGTAAGTTTATAGAGCGGAAGAAAAAAAAAAAAAAAAATAGTAGATGAACAAGAATAAAAATAATAAGTAAGTAAATTTTATCTGTATTCATTGTAGACGGATGCAGGTGAGTATCGATTTCGCTAATGACTAACGTCTACTCGCGTATCAATGCGCGGCATTCTTAAATGATCATAAAATACAACGAACACATCAGTTTCGGTCAACTCGCATAAGTTGTTGTTGTTGCTGTTGCTATTTTCGTTTTTTCTTTTCTTTCTTTTTTTTTTCTTTTTTGTCTGTATTTAAGTTATATTAATATTTCGTTTTATTTTGTTTTGTTTTTTTTTTCACTTTAGTTGCAAATACACAATTTCATCCACACCACAATTTTAATATTTTCTTGTTTCGTTTTGTTTTTTTGTTTTTGTTTTTGTTTTTTTTTTATCATTATTCATAAATAATGATTAAATTTTAAAAAAAATATTATGAATTTATAAGTATAATATTTTTAATTATAATTTTGTTTTGTTTTGTTTGTTTGTTTTTTTTTTTTTTTAAGTATTACGCATGAATTTATGTGTATATACGTTTGTGTGAATGTGAGTTTATAATGCGTATATTCTTATTTATAATTATTACATATGTTTGTATAATGTATTTGAATTATATGTATGTATGTGTTAAGTGTAGGATCAAAGAAAGGGAGACAATTAGAAAAAGCCCGGCAGAAATGGCTAAAGGATGGTGGTGAGAGGAAACAAGAAGGAAGATTGAGAGAAAGATAAAAGATTGAATTGTATATATGAATAGGTATATAGAATGTGTGTGTGTGTGTGTGTGTGTGTGTGTGTATAAAACCAAACTTCACACAAAATTATTTATGTCTAAACACATATATAAACTTAGCTTATCTCATTTAATTTATTTCTATATATACGACGACGCTTATATATAACTATCTATGGTATACGTAACTCTACATTTTGTTTCGTGGGTATAATGATGTGTGAAGGGATGTGCTTGTTAGTGTGTATTGTATATAATATGGCAATTGGAGCTTTTTTTTTTTTTTTTTTTTAAAGTTGCCGCAAAAAAATATTTATTATTATTATTATTATTATTATTTTATATATTTTTTTTCATTTTATGCGTATGTTTCTCGTTTTGTTATTTATTGTTTAATACACATTACCATTACATACGCTTTTGAAAGATTAATTATGTATTTTTAATTATAGACGTAAACTACTAAGTATATTTCTAAATATTTTTTTTTCTAACATATAGAAAAAGAAGAAAAAAATATTAAAAAAAAATAAAAATAAAGGAAAGGAAGAGAAGAGAAGAGAAGAGAAAAATCAAAAGTAATTTCGCGTAAACATTCATATATTTTTGAATTAATAAAACTTTTAGTTATATAATAAAATCTCTCTCAAAAAGGGGCAAAAAATTGTATTCAATATTGATAGATTAGAGAAATTTAATTAGATATTCATATTGCTTGCATATTAATACAAGCCCAAGTACTACTACTAAGAAGTGATTTTCACCGAACACCTTTCAATTTTGTATCGCGCTTCAACAGTCAACAGAAACAGAAAAGTCAAAAGACTTGAATACTTATATCACATTTCGCTGACTTTGCATGTTAAAATTCAAAAGTGAGACTTTCAAGATCAAGAATTCTTTTTGAAAGAATGTTATAATCAATCAGAAAAAAAAAAAATTTTTTTTTTCTCCTTTAATTTCACGTATGTATAATAATAATATTTAACAAAATTTCATAAAAAAAAAAAAAAAACCTAAATATGTCATAATTATTAATTATGGAAGAATTCAACTATGTTTCGCTAATATATGCCTATATACATATACAAACGGATCCACATTCATTAATTCATATAAATGAATGCAGTGATTATTATATCATAATGTAAATGCAATGGATTTTCCATTTTTTCATTGAATTTAAAATGAATGCTTGAAAATGCTTCAAATAATTCGAAATACAAGAAAATTTTTATAAATAAATTTAAAATACAATTTTTTTAATTAATCGCATCATATGCGATGATTTCGCCCCAGGTGGAGGAGGGGATTGGCATTATCGCTGCGAGAGATTGCGCTCATAGTAAACCGCATAACCATATAACTTATATAATCCATTGCAAATGCATTATATGAAGACCTTGAAGTAAAGAGTACATTTATTTAAGAACTTAGCTTAGTAGTTCGAAAATTGAATAATCAGTCAATCCTATCAATAGTGAAATGATTTATAGTAAAAATATCTGCAACAAAGGCTGCCCCATTAAATAAAAAAATTAGAAAAAGGGGGCCAATGTGAGAAGAGGACGTTTTAATCGACTCATTGAGACATACGTCATTTACAATTTAAAATATTTTGATATATTCGCGTTTGAGGTGGTGAGTATAGGTATCAAGGATTTACTTGCAACACGTATACAACTGATTAATAATAGTTAGGATTTCATTTTAGTTAGTTCAATTTTTAAAATAAAGTTACGATGGACGTTGGAAATGGTGGACCTGGGTTTTTAGGCGTTCGATAATATTAATAAATAAATGTAAAGATACTTTTCTCACATCTTTTCAAGATCGATTCGTTTAATTTAAGCGGCAAAATAATGTTCATTCAAACGAACTTAAAGGAGCGCAAGAACAAGAGGAATATAAGAAAAATTTGAAAAATGAATGAATAATGAAATTATGATGAAATTAGGGCAAACTTTAAATAAAAGAAACAATATGGTTATGAAAAAAATACAAGCAATAATGATAATAATAATAATTCGCATTTATATTCATAAGAAATAGATTTTTTTTTTCTTTTTTTTTTTTGTTTCTCATTACATATGCGCACGACAGACAAAATTACAAATTCTATAAACTACATCATTATATTTATATTTCGTGTTTTGTTGTTTATATTTATACTTTGTATTCATATTAAGTTTAAGAGAAGACGGAGAACAGGATGTTACTGCTGCTGCTGCTGCTGTTTCTGCTAACAACTAGTGTGTATAGGAGGAAGATATAAAAATAAAGCTTTATTAAAGGTGACCGTCTTATGATTTTTGAGAAGCTGTTAGGAATTTTTTTTTTTTTCTGTTCTCTTTTGGTTATTTTTATTTTTTTTTTTTTTTTGAATAATTACTTAAAATATAATGCAACGCACACAAGAATGTTAGCTGTTGTTATTGTTGCCGTTGTGATGGGAAAGCGAGAATTCTTTTTTTTTTCTTTTTGTTGTTGTAATTGTGAAGATGGTAAGATATTACGGATGAGTTGTTGTTGTTGTTGTTCTTGTTAGCAGCAAAGAAACAGAGTGCGGCCTTTTTCAGTTTCGTGTGTTATTTTTCACATAAATTTCGCCTTAACCGTCCTCTTTAGGAGGTGTGAACCAGCCTATGCAATGAAAAGAAAAATGAACCGATTTTAAGAATGAAGCGTAGAAAAGAAAAACCTATATATATATATATATATATATATACATACACCTATACCTATGCAATTTGGAAAGTATAAATAGTAAGGAAAAAATTGAATCTATGGTTTTACATAAAAAAAAAAAAAAAAAAAAATTAAATTAATGCAACAATTAAGGAAAAATTAATTACAATTGATTTTAGGTCCTCTTTATTTGTAGATGTTGGTAAATGTTCGTTCAAAATACTGAATTTCCATTGCAAACTCTAAAAACTAAATTTTGCTTTCGCTACAAAATGTTCTTTCGCCAGAAAACTAATCACGGTTCACGAGCCAAAGGTACTGATATTTCTGAGCTAAAAATTAAAAAGATTCCAGACAAACTTGCATTGCCAGTTTATAAGTATAGAGCACTCGATTCAAATAAAATTCAGGCACAAACAAAAATCAACTTCAGAACATATCTCCATCGAATATATAAATTTATTATTTTTGTTAACGATCAACTTTTGAATAAGAAAATTTTCGCTGTTTCTCTGGCGAATACTATGCCCATCACTTTGAACTTTGTTATCAGCCTTTCTTAACTTTTCTTAACGTTTCTATCAAGAAGTATTTGTTGCTGACAACTGCCCTAACAGCATGAATAAGGATAATAGGATACAGATATCTTGTCGTTTTCGACTTTAAACTGAGCCCGGTTTGACACTTCATTTGAGAGAATAGAAATAAATTGTTCATTTTTGTTGGAAACCATTTCCCCCCAAATAGAATGCTTTCCTCCTTTCGATTTACTTTAAACTTCTCTGCTAAGATGTAAAGTTCTTTTTCTTACAACGATACACGCGGCTCTGACTAATTGACTTATGTTAATCTAAGTTATGACACTGGCCTCAAAGACTTTTCCCGGGGACGAAGTTCCTTCCTTGGAGAGTCTTCGAGGGTGTTGGGGATCGTCAACGTGCAGACCTCTTCTTCACCACTTAGTCAGCTACTTAGGAGGTCTGGCACGCAACCTTTCGGTTGTCGAAAAGTAAAGATAGTGTGCGGTAATGGGCGCCTGCAGTCAGCTGCATTGATTACTTCTTCTAATACAATAAATCCAAGGGGAAGGGGGAGGGGGGCGTTACTAGGGGTGCCTGAAAAGCAAGTGTTAAATTGCGAAGTATATGGACATGCGAATGCCGATAATTTTAAAGCGTCCACTTCGGTGGGAGTTGCTATGTCCAATCACAATTTGAACGCAGCAGTTTAATTAATGTATGAGGCTTGACCGCTTGGATGCGGCTCTTCAAGCAGTACTCGTGATGGCTGTCGTTATCCCTAAATGCGGGGCCATTTAAATAATTAGAGGTGTTTGATTAGTCTCGCCCTGGTCAGAGGGGAAAGTTCCGACCATAGCGGAACTTTCAATATGTTACCCAGTGCTCGGAACAGACCCCCTCTCCTGCAGACTTGTCTTGCAAGACTACGGATCGTCCAATTTAATTATATTAATTGCCAATGGAATTGCTAAGGAATGCGTTTGATTAAGGCTTTAAGCCAAGGGCGAACGTTAAACATCGATATATAATCTATCCTCAGAGACTCTGATTGATTGCTGAGAGGTAGTGAATGTATCAGGGTGGTGGGGAGGGGATAGCCCCATCTTATGTCAGATGAAATGCGAGAAAGATGCGAATTGTAGTTCAAGTAATGAATTGGCTTAAAGATTAATTGCGAGTCCAAAATAACTCATTTTGAACGCAATTCCATCGGTGATTGCACTACCATGGGATTTTCCTATCCTGCCTTGATTGCATATCGGCTAATGCAGTCGCTATGATATTTTGTATTGAGAATCGAAGACGTAATCAATTCTTCATCTGTTTCAGTGCATCTGTTGTCGTTTTTTTCTTGCTTACATATGCATCTACCGCGAAGAAATGTTGAATAATTGTTTTCATCCCTGACTCAATAGATATATGATTTTATCTTTCAATTCTCATTTAAAACAGATAAAGTATTTGAAAGGTCTCAGAGCTTAGCTTTGCTTTGCTTTTTCTAAAATATTTCAAGCAGAATGAATTTGACGACCTATTCGTGATTCTTATATCTATTGAAAATCGTAATAATGAATTTTGGAATTGTTTTGCTACTTACCATTTTTCTCATGTATTTGAACTAAAGATTTGAAACTTTGTTGGGCTCTCGCCAAGCTGTACTGACCCTGTGATAAGGCCTGAATATGTGATTTAAAAATTCCAAAAACAAAAGCAAAAATCCACCACAAAAATCATTAACAAACACAAACGTACAACACTTACCTTTGTGGCGCCAAATTGTATTCGTGCTTTGCCCTTGACCAGAGTGGCAGCAATTTGCATTATAACAGCCTCAACAGTATATGCCGAACTCCAGCCCTGTTTCGTCAATAATTCCATACAAATGGCTCCACCAACTAATACATAACCACCTATTGTATCAATTATTATTGATGATTAATGATAAGATATATATATATATATATATATATATAATTGATAAATATTGTCATTGATTTTATAGAAGAATGCCGTTACCTGATATAATAGGATGCACAACACGAACAAATGGTGGTTCAAATGGATAAGTCTCTTTAAAGATAATATTCAATAGGATACTATCTTTGCCTTCTTTCTCTTTAAGCATTATTAAATCGTTGTGCAAAGGACTGTCGGGATCAACCGACTTTAAACGTATATTCCATTCATAAATTGAATCATTTACTAATTCTATTGAATACATGTTACTCTTGAACGAATCTGAACGATAAATATCACGTAATTCTTTCATTAGACGATCAGTAGCTTGTACCGAACCGGAAACTGAACCCTATTATTATTTAAATGATAATAATTATTATTAAAATTAAATTCAATTCTCGATTTTACCAAAATATATTTACCTTTAAGTAATCCTGTCTTTGACTTTGTCGCAGTCTTTCTAAGGTGGCTAAATGTTCAACTTCCATATCGTCCTTCTGCAATATATATATATATATATATATATATATGTATGTATTTATATGTTATATAAAATAAAAATTCAAATTTGTCTTTGATCGATTTTTCTCTAATCCACACCTTTTCTATATCGATGAATATATATATATATATATATATGATATATATGATTACAAGTGTAGAACATACCATCATAAGTAAATATATCAAATTAACTTTGCGACCTCATAAACTGACTTTTCATTTTCGAATCTCATTTATAAATTTTAATAAGTTCAACTTTCTTAACTTAATAGGTAGTAGAAAATTATATTCGACATTGGCCCCGGGAGCTTTTGTTCCCCACCATCACTTTCCTCTTGAAGAAATCTCACAAAAAAAGAAAAAAAAAACAAGGGCAAAAAAGATTTTTTTTTTTTTGATATGGTGAAAGATAGGATGGGCGTGGTCAGTTTTTTTTCTAGCAAGATTATCCGTAGAATAGAAGCAGAAACGATTTTCATTGTATCTGTTGAATATTCTGAGTAATAAGTTAGATAACTATTTTTTTCCGCTTTTGAGAACAGAAATACTCTCAGTTTACGTTGTGCTATACATACGCGTGTGCTTGGATCAAATTTGGTTTCTATTCAATATTAACTTGCGCGCAGAAAGCCTCAAAATTTTTACCAAATTTACAGATGACATTAAAATTTTTGCAACCGTGAGAATGTTTATCACATGCCAGCAAGCCTGGATCAATTCACAATTTGATACTGATCACGAATATATATATATATATATATATATGTATATATACTTTATAGAGCCTCTCGAGCTTCATTTTGAATGTTGTAAGCAACACCGTCCTTTTGGAGTGAAAAATTGTCACATTTTTTTCTAATTTTCGATTAATCCGCAGCTTCAGAACGACGAGGATGATAAGAGCAAAGAACTTCTCTGACATGATTATATCAGTTCCGTTATTCGTCTTTCTATCTTCATATCATATCATATCATATCATATCATATCACATATCATTTCATATATTTCATGCTAAAGGTATTTAATAAATCCAACACATCTCCTATGTGTAATAGATATAGAAGAGTCAAATAAAATCCAAGCCAGGACTTTATTATTATATTTTACCTTATTTGCACTGCGCACATCGTCCATTTCCAAGGGCAGATCCTCATCAATTTCACTCTCTTGCTCGCTATCGGCGACCGGATCTTCGATTTCATCTTGATCTGATTCTATATCTTCAATCTGCTGCTGTTGTTCTACTGCCGCTGCTGCTGTAGGCTGCTGATGCAACGATGACGCACTAGATGGCGGTGGCAATTGAAACGGTATGGTTAAATTGTCTATATCGGGCGGCAGTGGTACATTGTGCAGGCGGCATAATTCGCGCAATAATATGCCAACCTAAATGAAACAACAATCAATCAAAATAATATAATAGAGAATCAAATATTTCTATTTAAAATCAATGAATGAATGAATGAATGAATAAATGAATGAATGAATGTATCCCGCTTCACCTGATTTATGACATGATTATCACGTCCATTTGTATTACTAAGAATTTGTACAGCATTTGTTACGCTTGTTTCTTCACTTTCCGCAAACCACACAGGCGGTGACGATGGATACGTTTCCTAAAATATAATAAAAAAAAAACAAAACGAAAAAATATCTTAAATACAATACAAATTTTTCTCTTTCGCTTATTTATTATATAATAATGTTTAGGCGTCTTAATTTCAAGAGATATTATTGAATTTTCGAGAGTAGCGACCATCCGTGCATCATTCGTTAACAACTAAGTCTGTAACTCTCTCTACCCGGTTTCCCATTTTGCCATTGTCTTCATATCTTAATTATTTTAAAATTATAATAAATTTCAATCATTAATCACACTATACACACGCAATTTTGCTTAAAAAATAAGCAAGGACCTTATAATCGGGCAACGCCGACCATTGGATAGCCTACATCACTTCGCTTAGTACAATTATTTACTCGTTTTTTGTAGTAAAAATTACACATTACATATTTTCATGCAAAGGCATACTTTTGATGAAAGCCCCGCCCCACCACGGGTTTTGCAGAATGCTCGCTCAAAACTTAGGAAATATAATTTACTTCTTAAAAATTTTATTATGCCTCACAGGTTCCGTCATAGAAAACTAGAAATTACACTTTATTATATATATTAGGGTCGCAAAAATAGACTTATGTGATCTAAATTCTCTGCCTTTCAATTCAGTATATCAAAATACCATTACTGGGCGAATTTTGTCGAGAAATTTTGAAAATTCCAATTTTTTTTTTTCCATTTCCACGACTTTTCAAAATAAGGCATTAGTGACGGACTGATAGAAAAAGCGAACCAAACCGAACAATTCAATGCACGAAATTTCATTCAAATATTTCGAGAATTATGACCTGTTGGTTGAATATAAAAAGATATGATTAGGATTCTGATTCGATTGATATAATGAAAAGTGGCTGTATCTTAAGCCCTTCTATTAGTTACATGCATCCGCAGAAACTTAATATACCCTGGATCTCAAGCGAATGAGAGTTATAATAACCGAAATCGCCGTAACTGACAACAATGAGTTTCGTTAACTAAGCAATTACTTGATGATATATAAAAGCTGTAAAATTTGCTTATATATGTATGTATATGGGCTAATTTATAGTATATAGCAAAGAGCAAAGAGAGAAGAATGCTTTTATTCAAATAATAAAGGTACAGAGAGAGAGAGAGAGAGAGAGAGAGAGAGAGAAAGAAAGAGAGAGAGAGAGAGAGAGAGAAGACATTCGCATTTCGAAGCGACAACTTTCTGAAATTTTGAAGACCCAACGCAACAGATAACAGTGATCAATTCAGTTAACCAACTATTAATAAGAAATAATATGTATCTGATCGTGGATTTCACCATTTAATTGTCGCTTAGCTTTCAAATAGATCGAAAGGTATTAAACAGTTTTCAATGGAAATTGTTGATACTTATGAGTCCATAAGTTAATTGCTTTCCTACGAAATTCTCATACAAAATAGGGATAGATTGAGCTCTGGCGGAATCTTGTACACTTATGGAATATGTAGGTAAGTAAACAAGACGGACGGACGGACGGACGGTCACATATGTCAAGATTGATCCAAAATTCGATTCTGATCAATAATAGGTATATATATATAAACGTTTTTAATCTTTTCGTTAAGCGCCAAAATTTGCATCGGCAAGTATCTGTATCTGTATTATACACATTGCTAATATTGAGAGGCATTTAATAAAACTGGGATAACTGTTCGAAATTATTCCATATTTGAATAAAACTTTTCTTATTTAGCCATTCTAATTATAATTATATATCATCCAGTTCCATCTTTCTTGCAGTCTGATTTCACAAAAAATATGATATACTCGGATATTCATAATTTTGAACTGCCCTCGTGTTATGCTTTTAAATGTTTCTACTTGCGATGGCACTTCAACTTTATTCCACACATAATTACTCTCATTTTCATTAGTGTCGCTTCTTATACATTCATATTCACCTTGTTATGCATTGAATTTCTATTTCTTCAACGTTCAAATTATATATAAATAAATGTATGTACACCTGACACGCTGTAATATTAATATAAAAATAAAAATTGAAATAAAATGCACAATGGTATCATTCCGTAGTTAAAGGGAACAGACGCGTTTTATTTTGAGGTTAAGGACACAATATAACCAATGTTTGTCATGGTTCGTACATTTTATCCTATCTTGAATTACGATATTTTTCCACAACCCATGCGATTAGAGCGTCCTCTTTAATCAATCGCAGACGGACATTTGATCCATTAATTGTTCCACTATTAATTAATTAACGTAGCATCCATTTACATATATATATGTTTTTAATTAGCCTCCTTATGCCAATGGTTCAAAGTGACTTTTATTTTCGAGCGCAATAATTGTGATAAGAACATTTTTCTCTTTTCCGATTATCTATGGACCATAGCGCATATTCACTTAAAAACAGAGTATATAATATATAGTATGGTGGCGTTGCAAATGTTTGAGCGAATGTGATGTTACATCAAGACTCTGTTAACAGACTCTATTACATTTTCATCTATACAAATAAGGGGACTGAGAGAGCAAATAGTTAAGTTACTGTTAATTAACAGCGTCACAGCAGAAAGGCCATAATGACCTACTAGTTTGAATTTTAAGCAAAATATTTGATCACTGACTTTGTCATTTGCCTGTCTTTGATTCCATCCTGTAGCCCTTTCATTTAATACTACCCGCACTTATATAGTTTATTGAGAAAATAGTATTCGTCACGTTCGCCATATTTAATACTAAATTAATATATTCTTACTTAACTTGTCTCGCTGACTGACTCCATTTTGAATATATATATATAGAAAGTTTAACTCTATTACAATCCACTATCATCGTAACTAAGTATGCGTGTAGTAGACTTTCAGTCTGATTAGATGTAAGGAATTTTCCGAAATATCGATTGATTTAAAAGCAAGTTATTCGGTATATAAATGAGTTCGCAGTGTTGAAAATGTGATTGCTTCATAAAGCGCGCGCGCCTCGCGCATTCGATTCTTTCGCCATTTCAAAAATAGATGTTCTTGACTTTGATCTTTTTATGGTGTAATTTTTAATGGCTTATAAGCTATCGCTCGTTATATATCAAAGTGTAAAGAGATGGATGTTAATTACCGACATCTACGGCACTGCATGTCATTCTGCTTGAAATTAGACAAAAAATACAGTTGAAGGCATCGAAATGCTTAAGTTGGCTTGGTATTACAATGTATTAAGGTATATGCCAATAGTTAGATAACGGTTTGCAAAATTCCATGGAAAAAAGTCATGCAGTCATGTGGACGATGAATATTCCGGCGCTCAGCGAAAAGTGTTGAGTAAACAAATTCCAAGTTTATTGGACGAAAATCAAAAATGAATTCAAAAAAGACTTTGTTGCACGATTAAGAATAAATCAACAAACAATTTCAATTCGATTGCATGCAACAGCAAAGATACGAAACAGATATGAAAAATGTGTTCGTTCACTCCTTAAGCTAAACTAAGAGAATAAAAATTGTTTGATTGGCCTACTTGCCTACACTCTTTTCGGGTTAGTATAGATAGATAGGAAGTATTATTAGCGACGAAAAGAAAAAGATTCATGTACGGCAATAAAAGTATAGGTTGCTCAAAGACAATCATTCGCATTTTTTGTAAAAGCCAAAGAACATTTATCCTCAGCATGTGGTGCGGCGCTTTCGGTTAGATTGGAAAGGAGTAATCTGGTGAGAGTGTTACATCTGAAAAATATCAATCGCTGCGCTTGGGGAAACGAGCAAACTATATGCCAGCATAGCAGTCTGAAAAATGGTTTGCCTTCACGATAACACACCCGTTGATATACTGCAACAGTATAACTGCCAAGTAAGCGGTTTTCAATTGGGACTGAGAATTATCCTCAATTGCGGATTACTGTTTCGACGTGGCCATCCCCAATTAGCATTTGTTGTCGTGCTGATTCAATTGTATTTCGCGGATCAGTAGTGCACACTATGGTCCGAAATGTCAGTTCTCTGATACAAAAGTATTGAAAAGTTAAATGAGATTATTTTTCGAGTAAAATTTCAATTTTTAGCATATTTCAGATATTTAAATAATTTTTTTTTTTTTAAATAAAAATAATTTTTTTTTTATTTTTAAAATACATACAACAGAATATTTTTATGCAAATATAAGACTTTTATTAAACATTACACTTCAATTCATTATCAAAAACTTGCTGAATTTTTCCTCATAACCTGCAAAAAAACACCTAACGAAATAAATATCTCGCAAAAGTATACGCTTGAAATTAATTCCCATTTTTGGATCTTGTGGGTGTTCAACAAAGAAAAAATTCTAATGCATAGGTAAAAACTTGGTCAGTAAAATAAATTCCAAGATTTTTAGAAAAAATGATTTTATATATTAGACGTTTGCAAGAATTTTGATCAGTGACTTTTACACGCTAAATTGGTAAAGAAATGAGTAATAGAAGTGTACGCGTGTAACACGGTTGAACCTTCTTCTTGACCTTCTTCTATATAAAATAACAGTTTTCCCATTTAATATTATTGATGTATTCAGCAGCGTACTCCAACGCAAATCGTGAAGCGCTCAAAATTCGTACTTCCTTCTTTCAAATGCATCGCTTTTGAAGAAATCCGCTTTAAAAGCCCCCATACACGCAAATTCGGCGGCTTAAAAGTGGCGACAGGAATTGACTGAAACCTCCATGTTTTGCTCACTTGTTGCAAAAGTTGTCCAGGATACACTTTTGCAGCTCGATTGGGAAGCCCTGCCACACCACGTGTACTCATTAGACAAGGTAACTTCTGGTTGCCGCTTCCTCAGGCCGATGCATCATGACTCGGCGAGCCATGCGTGTTCGCAAACTTGAAGAATTAATTGCGTAAATGGGTCGATGAATGGATGGATCGCTGGCAAACCAATATAAGGAAAATATTGTAAAATGTCATGGAAAGTGATGGAAACGATTTTGATTAATATATATTGCATCAAATTTCCCACAATAAAGGCATTTTTCAATGATCAACATCTTG